GGTGAGAGTTTTTGACAATCTTTTACTGATTATTGTACTCACTTACTGCCCCTTTTGCGATGTACTTATATGTTAGTTCCTCTTTTTGGTATCCGTTAATTTGTCTATTCTTTTGAGTTGTATCTTGTGGATTTCCGATCATCTTGTATGCATGCAAATCGTGATTTGCTCATACATCCTTGAAGATACATAGGTACAATCAGTGGCGGAGCCAGGATTTTCGTGGAGGGGGTTCAACATATAAAGAAGTAAATAAAAAAATGGAGCAAAAGGAATCGGGGAAGAGAAAATTTATCCTTAATCTGTTAAATTTAATTTGCCTTGTCAAGCCGCGTTTAACTTTGTTTCCTACTTTTACCCTGCTTCATTGATTTTCTTTTTTAAAAAAGTGATTTTTTTTCTTTTATTTTTTTATTGTTTTACTTTATTTTGAATTTTTAAAATAAATTAAATTCGTGTTCATTCAATCATATGTTACTTTAAAATTGTTTGATACTCTTTACAAACGTGTGGGGATTGAGTTACTAATATTATAATGCATATTAAAAGGATAAATAAATGGCATCGCCAATTTTTTGTTCATTTATTCAATTAATAAGGTTTTCAATCGGTGAAAAATAAAAGAAGAATAATCAAATAAATGTAGTTTACATCTCTCTAGAATAGAAATGAAAAAATGAGAAAAAAATATCATGAATAATCATGCCTTTCAAATTTGTTCGTTCGATTAAATTTAGTGTAACTTATCTTTAAAATATTTTTTCTCTATCTCAAATTCAAGTTTAAGAATAATTGACAGTTTTTTAAAAAGTTCCTTTGAATTACTATATAAAAAAAGAGTTACGTAAAAATAAAATGAGCAATAGAGATAAAAAGAATAAAATACAAAAAATGAAAATAATGTGCCTAATTCCCTATATTCAAACAAATGAATATTGAAAAGGAGAAATAACATTGAAAAAAATAAGCCCAAAAAATAATAATAAAGCTCCAGCCCAAAAATATTGAGCCCATCTCAGCCTAGCTATTTGATTTTCTAAATGAAGAAAAGAAAAAGAAGTGTTGCCGTGCGGAATCGAACCCAAGGCGTCCAGGCAAATTCTTGAACACCCTTAACCACTGAGCCAGCCTCTTTACTTATATTAAGGGGGTTCATTTTAATATATATACACATGAAAACAGAATTTGACCTTATATATACGGTGTAATTTTCCGACGAAGGGGGTTCGGGTGAACCCCCTTGCCACCATGTAGATCCGCCCCTGGGTACAATGGAGTTGAGTTACGATAACTTATTCTTGGATGATATCATTGAAGTGGTGTGGTACTGATTCTAGTATGATACTAATTGAAGTGCTGCAGCACCGCAGATATAAATGAAATTCAAATTTGTAGTTTCTGGCACTCTAAGGTTATTTTAAGCTTCCACTTTTGAGCATCCTTGAATTAGAAAGTAAAGCCAGACAAATCGTAGCTTTTATTGACTACATCAAAAGTGAAATTGTCAATTTCACAATGCAAGTAAAATGGACTTTCCTTGACTACCGCGGTGTCAATATGCCTAGGGTAACCACATGTTGAGTATATTTCAGAGTCTAATGTTGATTTTTGTATATTAATAAACATCTACCAAGATGTAATAGTGGTATTTTCATGTGTTCTGAATGGTACCACACTTAAAACTTTCATCCTGCAATGTACAGTTTTAATTTTAAATTTAGTAATCTTTTGTAAAAGCTGCAAGTCCGCTTAATTATGTTTTTCTAGACATGATTTTGGTTGCTTTTGCAACAATTCTCTGTGTCTGCCTCTTGCTATTAAGTTTCTTTATTTTCTTCCTTTCAACCAATTTGCTTTCTGCTTTGTAGCCGTTTTCCCACAAAAATAAATTTTGTACAGTCTATGAGAGCTATATATTCTCTTAGTTGGGAGTCAATACTCTTTTCTCAAAGATCCAGTTATGTTGACAATATTACCATTTATGAATATGCAATGCTCATAAACTTCTATAGGATTCATCTGTATTGGCATAGCTGGGTGGCCTGACATGTGTTTGCCATCCTTTATACTTTATCCTAGACGGACAGAACTTACTGTTCGGAGATTACTTGTGCCTGCCTTGATCTTAGCAAGTAAAAAATGTTGTTTCTTTTTTTGAATGCATCTTATTTTGCTTATTGCTCGAAGCTCACTAGGTATTTATGCTTGCTTACAATTCCATTTATTTATTTTCAAATATAAATAAAGCTTTGACATTTTCTGTTTCCACAAAGTATAAGTAATTATGTTTGAGCGTAATGCTATAGGATCGGATCATTGACATTTAAATTTCTTGATAATGTAAAATACTCATTCATAGATCTGGATTACGACAAAAATGTTGGAGGGACAATGACTGGAGTTCTGAGTGCAACATATAGAAGGGAAATGGAATCATTTATTAGTGAGGCGTTTGAATTATATGTTTTTATATTCGACTTTTTCCAGGGTTATATTTTATATTTTAAATATTTCGTTTGTTATTATAATAATTTGAGATTCGGTATAGTACCTGATAGTAAAGAACTCTATCTGCTTTTGTGTATTATGGCTTTGGTCAGAAAGAGAAATTTCAGATATTTACAAGGAAGATAGACTATGAGCAGTCTTATTTTTCATTGCTAAGGAGAAAACATAATATTCTTGCTACTCTATTTCTAGGAATATCACAGCTAATTGACTATAACCTTATAAGAAGTTGTTCTTGATAATTTTGAGAAGACATGGGATATATATGGATTTGCCCCAACACTAGCACATTTCTTTCGATGTACCATGGACTGCAATTTGGTGGCACTTCATCTCAATTGCATTAGACCATAAAACTTTTTTATTTATGTACTGAAGTTTGTAATTATGACCAAAGGGTACACAAGATATTCTTGGTATATGGTGCTAAAAGCTAAAATTACTTTTGTGCGGTCACGGCCATTCCCATCTAGTATATTTCTTTTTTTGCTCAGATTCCTTTTCAGTTCTATTTCACAACTGAACTTCATGGATGATATCGTTATTGTACTGTCTCCCCACTCCTTGAGGCTTGACAAAGATTAACCGTTTCTTTTAGTTTTCTCGGGAATTGCAGAAAAATACTTATTGTTCTTCATCCTTCAATAAATTTACAATTCCAGGTATGCTCCTCTTTCATCTTCTTTTTTTGTTTTTTAAGTTCTCTTCAAATTTTAGTCATTATTCTATGTAGGGATATTTCTACTGAAGTGCTGGTGCACTAGATAGACCATTGGAAATCAGATTGATTGAAAAAATAAAAAACCACTCAACAGACCTATAAGTTTCCTAGCTGAATCTTTATTTTTTTTAAGGGCGTTTCAAAAGAAGTTATATATAGATTTCTATTGTAGCTTAGTCACGTCTTTGAATTTTAATGTGAAAAACACTTCTTTCTCTGAATAGGGAACATTTCTTTGCTAATTAGATTGCTAAGACTCTTCCTTTGAACTTCTTTTAAGGCGGATATCTTGTTGTGATAAAGAAGTCGGGACTCTTGGTTGAACTATTTTTTTGGAGGTAAGATACTGATAAATTTAATTGAATCTTCTACGTCACAGATCCCAGTCATTGTAGATGGGTTGTTGAATGCCTTTCTGCGAGGTTGTAGTTAATGGAGTCTTGAACACTGCTACTTATAAAATCAGTATAGCAATTTAGTTTGTGTTATTCATCGTAGAATATTTATTTATTATGTTCAAATATATAAGAGAAGTTTGGAAGCATACGGGTCAATATATGAAAATATGTCCTTAAACTAACTCTTGAAAAGACGAAGAGTACACTTAAAAAATAAAAGGAGACATGAACGTTGAGATTTAAGGTGGGTCTTTCTTTGCTTTAAATATGAATTTAAGTTTTTCTTCAAAGAAATTGATTTCTCTTTGACTTGTATTTCTATTTTTTCAAAAAAAATTATTTATTTCCATTAAACAAATGAAATTATTTGAAGTGGAAGTATCCTTTGGTGTAAAGTAAATATTTCTGCATGGATATAAGATTTTGTGCCGTTTTTGTTATTTCAATATTTATCTATGTTGCACACCAATAAACTCTAATAGTTCTTCATCATCCTTTTTTCCTACGTGCTCACTTTGTATCCAGCAGTCAAAGAAGTGTTCTGTTATTTATTGAAATGATGATATAAATGAGGTTTCAGATAAGTTTGGTGCTGCTGCTCTTTCAATATTAGTGGATGTTGTGTTGCCGCAACTGCTGCTTCTCCAGGAAGAATTAAACTAAAGGTACTTCTTCTTTTTCATCTGATCATGACTTTTTGTTCATTGTATAATGTTTAAGGCCTTCATTAGCATTTGATATTTTGAGTTAGTACTTGCTATGAAAAATTTATATGTTAATACTTACCGTTGGCTTCTTCCAATTGGCCTTTGAATGGCTCCTTGGTTATTCTCACAAAGATATTGAATGTTTTATATGTTTCATGTCATATAATAAGTTAGTGTTAGTCTTCATGGTTGGAACTTTTACTTTCTTTACATATTTGAGTTCATGTCCTGGTCCTGATCAGCAACTGGTTACCAATCTGAGCCTTTCACACAGACATTAGGAAGACGATTTTTCTCTACACAAATAAGTCTTGTGCTTCATAACATTGACACGAACATACCATAGCCTTGTGCTTCGTCAGCTTGAATAGCTTATACCTACTAAGTTTGTACTATAATTATTTAATATTTATTCCCTGCTTAGTTTTTGATAAATAAATTACTAATATATTAAATATGCTTATTTTGTTATTCTAACTTGCTAGATCCAATATAGTTGTTGTATAAAGTGGGATAACAAGTCAACAATTGGGCTTACGATGAATAACTCAAGTGGTTGGCCGCAAAATGAAATTGTTTCCTTATAAAAAGAGAAGAAGGAGCTTGTTTATTTATAATTGAGAGAGTCAACATTGATTTATTTACTATGCTCAACTAGAACAGAAGTCATTTGTTAGAACCTGGTCCACCCAAAAAGACCAAATGACCAAATTCATTGTCGCCAGTTTGTTTATCACTCACTTGGTAGAGCGCACTGGCATCTTCAAACTTTGACAAAGGACCAGTATTTGTAGTTTTCCCAGCAGAATTGAGAACGGAAATCTTTCTACAATATGCATCGACGGAGGTGTCACGTTGAGGGAATTGTCCTGTACCCATTGGAGGGAAAGTAGGTCCTGAACTAAATGCCTCTCCACCCCATGCCGCCTTTGATGCAAAATTCTTTAATCCCCCTCCAAACAGTTCTGCTGGCCAATAACCAAGCTGTGTAGAATCAGAACCATAACGTAGCCACCAATTTCCATTTATCAAATCCTGAAAATTGATCCAAAATTCATAAATTATAATAATACTAATACTAATATTCATTATGTATGTATGTATGTACCTTTTGAATATAAAACCTCTCCTCGAATATATTTCCATCTTTGGAAACATGTGGGAATATATGGTCCAGGGGTATTTGTCCATTCACTATTATGAATCCTTTGCAACGTGTGTTGAAGCATTGAGTTGTGCCAGACTGTTTGATTTAACACTAGCGATTAGTTAACCAACTATGAGTAAAGATAATATTATAATTAATTGAATGAACCTTACTTTGAATAATACGAAAAATCGTGCACGAGTATCACCATAAAGAATTGGATCCACCTACATCAATTAATATTCATTGTCAATCTATGGAAATTGAAAATGATTTGGAACAAGCAAAGTTAAATAAACTTACACGCCAACCAGCTTGTATTTGGTCACGACCATTTTGTAACTTCACGACAGATGCACTCCATTGGTTATTTTGAACCTTTGGAGCGTAAATGCTCATCCACGCACCAGCTCCCGTAAACTTATTATTTTGGTCATCTGATGTTTCTTCTAGAGCAAACTGAAATAAGATAACACATACATTGATCGATAACAATTTTATGTGTGACTAGGATAATTAATCAAAGCAATTAATATAAGGATCGGGGTAAATTACGTGAAAGATGCCGTTAGCATAACTAGCATTAAATCGATCCGCATTTTGTTCTCTAATGAGATCTTCCTTAGTAGTTCTTCTTATAGGAACGGTTCCCTTGGGACAACCTCCATCTTTTAATATCTTGGCGGTGTTTCTCAATGTTGAGGGTTCTTCGTCTCTTTTTGTTAGAGAAAAAGTTGGTTTCATCTGCATAACAAAATTTCAAGGAGTCATTTTTACTTTCATAATTCAACAATAATGAAGTTCGTTTAAATAGATATATATGTAGTACACATACCTGAGGATGATAAGTATGATTTTTTAGCAATGGATGATCAAATGCCGGCTGTTGATAGAAATCTACGCAATCATAGATATCTCCATATTCGGTCTACAAAATGATTATATATAGTGTTTGTTATTAATTAATTTATTCCAATCTTTTTCTGTACTAAAAGGATATAATTGAAAGAAGAAAAAATTAGGTACTAACCTTAATAGTTTTAACTGCTGGCTTATTTAAAAGCTGTAATCTCCTCTCCAATGCTTCGTCTTCTTGCTTGGTTAAGCCCTCAACTATATCATAATTAAGAAAAAACATAATTGCAATAAGAAATGATACAACTTTTAGATGCATCCGTGTGATCTTCATCCTATCAAAATTAAGAATTATACAAATAAATTAATTATTTAACTTATAATACAAAGAAAGAAGAGGAGAAGAACCTTTATATAAGAATCACAAAGGCATTTCATAACGGTAATTGATTTCCTTAATTAATAATTAAATTGATTGATTCTTTTCATTGATTTTGTAATCATAATTTTGATTGATTTTGTAACCGTAATTTTGATTGATTTGGTAACCGTAGTTTAATTTTATTCTTCTCATTGATTTTCCTTAATAAATTATATTGATTCTTCTAATTATTCTATCCGTCAATTAATTCATCATATGGGATTTCCTCATTGTTCTTACTTATATATGGAAACTTATCTATTTCCTACAAAAAAACTAGCTAGTGGAAAGAGAAAATCTGTGTATTAATAAATGAGAGCTTATATCGTACAGTAAAATGAATTCAATCTCTAATTGAGGTATATATTAACGTACACTACATAAAATATGATCTTTATCGATAATTAATTAATGATAATAGCTTAATTGTCGCTAAAAATACATTGTAAATGTTCCTAAATCCTATAGCGATATTTGGATCCAATGACAAATGTCGATAAGGATTTTAGCATTCCTTGTTAATGTGTATTTTATTGCCGCTAAAAACTATTTTTATTGTATAGTGGTACAAAATATGTAATGGAAAAATCATATATAAATATATATTCATCACTTGATAAGAAACAAATAAAATGAAGCTAAAAGATTTTATTAAGTTTATTTTATGCCATTTTGGGCTAAGAACAATGTTTGAATAATTAATAAGATCATTATATGAGGTACACCGTTTCATTGAATCTTTCCAAATTATGCTCTAACCGCAAAAATAAAGGAAAGAAAAACATAAACAGAATAAATATGATGGTATATTTGTATAAGGTAATTACTTTCAGAATAATTTTTAGAATAGAAAACTAAAATTCATATTGATTTCCATGACTTAAGATCTCATTTATTTTTATCAAGATTGAGATGTCAGAATTCAAATATAAAATATCAAAATGTTTGGTTTAAATATATATTTAAATATTAAGATTTATTTTTTTAAAAAAAAATGAATGATTAAAATTGTTTGCTTTCGATTTCTGAGTATAGTTTATTTGTAGTTTTTTTTATGTAATAAATAAAATTCAAAAAATAATTAGCCATAATATCAATATATTTGGGGAAAAATCTCATTTAATAAAAACAAAATATTATATGATAAAAGTAAAATATTCAAAAGATATAAATAAATATTATATTTTGGATAAATTTTTAGAACTACCGGATTTCAAATGAAAATTACAAAGTAACAATGTAATCATAAACAAAATGTAAAAATTCAAATAAGTTATTAATCTTTTAATGAAAAATTACCCAACCAAATAAAAACCTGTCCACTTTAAATGCTCATAGATACGATAATTTGAATAACTAACTGCAAAGCAAATCAGCTCAAATTCTATGTCCAAAAAATAGAAAAATAATTCAAAATGAAAGTATTTCCTCTTCTTTGCATTAGCTGATGCAGTTCCAATTATATTATTACAAGCCCAAATTTGATTTGAAACGCACTTTGACTCCAAGCGTAAGATCTTCACGCAGTTCATCATTTATAAGTCATAGTTTTTTGGTAACAATGGTGAACATTACCATTCATAACAAACGAGAATTACAACTTTAATTACCTAAGAACACAGAGTTTCTAGTCTAGTCACTTCTCCTCACAGGTAGTAACCAATTAAAATTTGAATAAAACTCCTACATTTATACAGTTTTTTTTATTCCCGAAATCTACCTATCCCACCTATGAATTCCCTTTTGATCTCTGTGTTATAAATTTAAAGTCAAAAAATAAATTTAAAACTATTTTTTCTCTACCGTTAGATGAATGAGCTCCTTTTGTAACGGTAGAGATGTATGTGAGTCATTTGTATAACGGTAAGGGTATATGTGAGTCATTTTCATAACGAGAATATATCAGCTCTAAATACAAAGTTGAGGGGTATATCAGACCCTTTTCCTTAGAGGTGTCAAATGGCGGGTTGAGTTGAAATTTGAGATATTAGAATGGGTTGAAATAGAAATTGGGTTGGGTCTTAACCCGCCCAAATTTATTTTGGGCTCAAAGGGGTTGGGCTTAAAAACGAGTAGGGTCTTGACCTGCCCAAATTTATTTTGGGCTCAAATGGGTTGGGCTTAAAAACGAGTAGGGTCTTGACTTGCCCAATTCGACCTGCTTAATCTCAATAATTTACTATATTATTATTTAAGTTTCATAACCTGAATTTCAACTTAAGAAGATTTAAAAAAGAAGAAGTTACAAATCTATATATTTTACTATATTAGAAAGGACAGTTTCAACATGTCAACTTTCTGGTATTAAATTAAACTTTAAGGGTATTAAGGTCTTTTTAAAAAAATTGCAAGATAAACTTCCTATCCGCAACTTCATTTTTCGTTTTGAGACAATATGGCTTTCTCATTTAGATTTTCCTAATCTGCTTAAGACGAGTTGGCGCAAAGATCTTTCTTTGCAGGAAAACATAGACACATTCCAACAACAAGTTCATTACTGGAATATTCACACTTTTGGGAATATATTTCACCCAAAAAAAAACTCACTAAGTGCCTAGAAGGATTCAAAACTCCATATACTATCCGACAAGCGACTTTCTTCAGAATCTTGAACAACACTTACTATTAGTGGCGGAGCCAGAATTTTCAATAAGGGGGTTTAAAATCTGAAGAAATAGACACATGAAGTAGCTGAAGGAGGTTCGACATCTACGATATATACCTAAAAAATTGTTTTAACCATGTACAAAAAATATAATTTTCCATCGAAAGGGGTTCGGATAAACCCCTTAAAGATATGGTGGCTCCGCCACTGCTTACTACTCGAGTATAAGAATATTCTTCGACTGGAGGAAGATTTTTGGAAACTCAAATCTAGAGTTAATTGGCTCAATGATGGTGATGCTAATACAAAAATTTTCCATCTGTCTACTATTCAACGGCGTCGTCGAAATCGCATTACCGCCTTAAAAGATACTGTAGGGAACTGGATATTTGAACCCTCTCTCATTCATAACCACATCCATCAATACTACCTTTCGTTGTTCACCACTGAACTGGATAGGTCATTCAACCACTCCCCATCTCCCATCTTTTCGACAACAAACTATGCTTCGCTCCATCAGATGGACACTATTTCGAAATCTGAAATCCACTCAACCATGAACTCTTTTGGTCCTTTAAAGAGTCCGGGTCCAGATGGTCTACATCCCATTTTTTTTAATCAAAAACATTGGGCCACTGTGGGCCGATCAGTGGTGGATTTTTGCCAACAGATAAATCTGGCAGAATGCCCCCTGATATGAATAAAACTTTTCTATGTCTTATTCCTAAAACCAAGTCACCCACTACTATCCAGCAGTTCCGACCTATTGGTCTTTGTAACACAGTCTACAAACTCGTTACAAAAATGATCGTCAAGCACTTGAAGCCTTTCCTTCAAGTCGTCATTAGTCCCAACAAATCTAGCTTACTCAAGGGACGTCAGGCGGTTGATAGTGCTATCATCGTTCAGGAGATCCTATCTCGCTATCGACACATGAAAGGAAAAGTAGGGAGTATGCTCATTAAATTAGATCTAAAAAAGGCCTTTGATCGACTTGAATGGTCCTTTATACGCCAAGCCTTTCTCTATTTTGACATTCCTCAACACTTATCGACTCTGATTATGTCTTGTGTTACGTCATCCTCCATCTCCATACTCATTATTGGTACCAGAACTGATTTCTTCCAACCCACACGTGGTATTTGACAAGGCGATCCTCTTTCACCTTATTTATTTATCATGTGTATGGAGCTTTTATCACAGTCCATCCATCAAAGTGTCTATCAAAATAAATGGATTCCAATTAAGCTCGGACGACAGGGTATTTCTATCTCCCATGTTTTTTATGCGGATGACATCATTCTTGTCTCCAAAATAACCCAGCAAAGCTGCAACACCATCATCGACACCCATAATAAATTCTCCTCCTATTCTGGGAAAAAAATAAACTACAACAAATCTCGCATCTTTCTATCCAGAAATTCTTCCCACGAAGATAAGGAGTATGTTACTAGTTCACTGCATATGAAGGAAGGAACTATAATGGGCAAATATCTAGGCTTTCCTCTTACTCACACTCGTTATCAACCTAGTGATTTCCTATTCCTCATCGCCAATTTCAACAACGTCTGGCTAGATGGAAAACAAAATTCTTGACCATGGCAAGGCGCACCACTCTTATCCGCTCCACTCTTAACGGCCTTGCAAACCATGTTATGCAATTCACTATTCTTCCGAAACAGGTAATATCTACACTTACCAAGTTTCAAAGAGCTATTCTATGGGGATCTACTAACCAAGCTCGCAAACTACACCTTATCAAATGGAAAATCATCACTTCGAACCGATTTTGGGACACAAGACCTACAGTTCAAAAACCAAGCCCTTATAGCAAATCTCTCATGGCGATTGGTGACGAACCCCTCGGTTCTTTGGTTAAAATTACTCACAACTCATTACATTCCCTCTAACGGCGCGACTACCCCAAAAAGACCACAACTCCCTTATGGCGAACCATCCTTAGAGGTTGGATAACTTGTCAACAAGGCATCTTGTGGGAAATTAGTAATGGGAAAGATATTCTCTTTTGGGAAGATGCTTGGTTAAATCCAAATGAGACTCTTAGACAGAATCATGGCACACAAGAAGAAGAAGGACTGCTAAGCCAGATAGAAGCCTTGGAACACCAAATTTATAGGCCCTCTACCTCGAAATGCCCTAACAAAGCGAGTGGCAGACTATGTTCTTAATTATCGTTGGAATTTAGACCAAGTCATTAACACTTTAGATGACACAACGATCCACAACATCAAATCAACCTATATCCCAATATACACTCATGCTAAAGATATATACTCGCACTTGGGGATTATTGACTTCCAATGGGATTTTTACTACCAAGCCTCTTTACAAAGCCATTCATCCAGCCACCGACGATACCAACACCACCTCCTTTAGCTGGATCTAAAAACTTTCTATACCATCTAAATTATGTTTTTTATTGTTTGGCAATGTTGTCATCAAAAGCTCCCCACTAAATCATACCTCGCGCGCATTGGCATTTCTCCGATTGATACTTGTCCCCAATGCCACAACTTTGTCGAAGGTATCAACCACGTACATACTATTATTCTGACCTCATGCAAAAATTTTGTGGTCTCATCTTAAAATGTTACATCTGCTAAATGCTCAGGATTTGACCAATGCACCTCCTATGGACTGGATTCCTAAATTAATCAAGCAATCCGGGCAAACCCCTATCTCTCCCGTTCCTTCGGCCACCCCTGTTTGCTTTGGTCTTTGGATTAACAGAAACAATAACCACTTTAACCATACCAATAAATATCCAGATTACAGGCAACCTATGCAAAGGGCAATTGAATTTCACTCTTTGGGACCAAATTACAAACCCTCTCGAATTCCCATTTCCATCGACTTATCCTGGTCCCCTCCAACTAACGGTTTCAAATTAAATACTGATGGGGCATGCTCGCAGACTACTCAAAAAGGAGGCTTTGGTGGAGTCATTCGCGACTCTGCCGGATCATGGATTATTGGATTCATGGGATCGGTACAAAACACATCTCCTTTAGCTACTGAAATGCTTGCGCTATTTCACTGTCTACGCATTGCTCAACTTCACAACATACAACCATTAGAAATTGAAATGGATGCCCAGGCAGTCGTACATCGATCTACTTTGTAATCCTCATACAAGTGCGTCTAACCTGTTGTTTTATTGCAGGTGGCTACTTCACCAACTGAATAATCCTAAGCTAAGGCACACCCTTACAGGGAAAACAACGGAGTAGCAGATAGTTTAGCTAAAGAAGCATCTTCACCTAACTTTTTGGAAGAGATTGTTGTGTTAGACGTGCCACCTAATTTTGTCAACACCACCCTTGTAGATGATCGAACATGTAAGCAAAGGAAAAGGACTATCTCAGCTTTCTCTAATAATCATATTAGTTTTAGATAGTAGTAACGTAGGTAACTCCAACATTTTGTATCCGCCACTCTCTACTTTTTTGTGTAATATGCAACCTCTAGGTAGCATTGAGCCTACGACTCATATTCCCTGTATCAATGTAATGTAGTAATCTATATAATATCCTTATTTACCAAAAAAAAAGTAGTATATTTTGCATTGTTATTTGATCCTAAGTAATACCTCTTAAAAAAGTCCTCCTTTTTCTATTCAACTACAAATTATACCATGCCATTCAAGAATATGATCGGTCCCACTTTTCTTAAATATGTCATTGAAGAATATGACAGGTCCCACTTTCATCTTTTTTTTTACTTATTCATTATTTAAAAAGAAATTTCATTTTGATTGTCATTTTTCATATAAATATTTTTTTAAATCACATTTTATCTATCGTATTAATTAAATATTAAACATCAATTAATAGTAATAGTGTAATAAAATAACTATATCAATTTTTTTTTTAATAAATATGTCAAATTTAAATATGACAAGTAAAAATAAGCGGACATGCTATATAATAAAAAGATATATAATAAGAAGAGATTGTAGAAAGGATAAATAATGACAGAATTAAGGAAAATGTTATCTTGACTGAGATTTTTATGGGAAATTAATTCATATTCTCTAATTATAATTAATAAAGTAAATAAATGGTATCATTTATTTTACTCTTATATTAAAATAAAAAAATTGTTTACTTTTTTATTTTAATAAATTAAGAAAATAATATTTTGCCTGACTTTATCATTATCGTTAAGTAATTATATAAAATACAAATAGTCAAATTAAAATTTTCAAAATATAATTGATAAAATAAATAAGGCATCTTCCCCTATGCTTAATATATATAGTCTCTTATTATATAAGAGAGAGTTCACACTTAAGTAAGCATGTCTCTTGCCAACGTGCCCTGCTTCAGCATGTTTCAAAAAAAAAATTAAAAAATTATTTATTTTGTTCTACTATAATTTAATTAGTGTATAATATTTTCAAAATTATGAGATCCGTTTTAGCTAGACTTTTAGTTTTGAATTCATATTATTTAGTTATAGCTTTATTATTTTTTAATGTCAGTAATATTTGTTTATATCTTGTATCTACTTTGAGTAAAAAATTAACGATTGATGAACGAATAATACTTTAATTATGGACATCTTAATGAACCTCTTCAACATTAAAATTTGCGCAAACAAAAAGTAATTATCAACTTAAGGACCTCTTCACATTAAATTTGAGCAAACAAAAAATAATTGACAACTTAAAAAAATCTAAAAAATCACATTAAAATTTAATCAACTTTTTAAATTTTATCTATATAACATTAATCAAAATTAAAAAAATAATAGATCTTGTGCCCATGCTAGCATGGGCACCTGTGTCTAGTCTATATAAAAGAGAAACATAGAGAAGGTGATGTGGCACCTCTCTATGACCTCCATTCCTATTTATCTTTTTTCTTCTTTTTTTTGACTTTTTTTCTTCATTTTTCTCAATAAATAATTTGTTTATTAATTTAAAAATTCAATCATATTTACTATTCTAATTATGTCTAATAAGTTACAAAAAAATCTCCATCTATTTATCTTCTCTACTTAAATAACATGCCTCTTCAACTTCTTTCTAACTAATCTAATCTATAAAGATGTTCAATGTTCATTTCCATTTTTTCATTCTTTCTTTTTAATTAGTATTGTTTTTTCTTTCATCTTTTTAATGTACTTAATAATGTCATGATATGGTCTTCACTTTGATAAATATCATAGATATATTCTTCAAAGATTCATCATAGAGATGTTCACATTAGTTTGGGTACAAGTTTATCAAAATGAAGGAGGAAACTTAATTATCTTGGAAGATTCATCAAAAGAGATGGTCATATTAGTAAAAAAGTTCAAATGATTTCCAAATATTTTGAAGATTCATTAATGTATTGTTTTGATTTTAATTAATATTATTTTATTTTATTTTGATCAGATATGTAAATTTCCTTTTATTCAACAAAGATTAAATTACGAAACTCTACTAATCTACATATTAGAAAGTTCAATTAGCATTT